ATAAAAATATTTTTAAAAGAAAAAGACACAACACAGCAATAAAAAATATGGGTAAATACAACAGATTTTCTTTCTCCTCTTGCATTTTCTAAACTATATTTGGCAGTTGACGCATAACTGTAACACTGTCATGTGTTCAAAATGCACATAGAGGAAATATTTAAGGCAATTATATACAGGGGAAGGTAAAGAGAAGTAAAGTTTTTATACTTCTCTTAAACTGGTAAAATAATATTAGTAGACTCTGATCAATTATGTATAGATTATGTAATACCTACAGCATCCAAGAGAAACACTATATTTAAAGATATTATAGATAAGTCAAAATAGAATTCTAAAAAATATTTAAGAACCCATAGGAAGGCAGGAAAAAAAAAAGAGAGAAAAAAAACTCAAAAAGGCAGATGTGAACCCTAACATACCAGTAATTACATTAACTGTAAATAGTCCAAAAACACCAAATGAAAGATAGAGATTGACAGAATATTTTTTAAAAAATCATAACCCAACTATATGCTCTCATAAGAAACTCACTTCATATATGATTATAGGCAGTTTAACCTAAGAAAATGAGAAAAGATATATCATAGAAATTAGGGTACTATATTAATACCTAATAAAGTAAACTTCAGAGCAAAAATAATTACTACAGACTGAAAGGGACACTTATATAATGATAAAAGGATCAATCCATCAAGACATAGCAATCCTAAATAGATATGCACCAAACAACAGAGACACACAAAAATTAACTCCAAATGGATCATGTTTTCCAATCTATAATAATAAAAGCGTAATATGCTAATTAGACTGGACAGCTGAACAACCTTCCGGATGTCATTCTGGACATCCTTCCGTATGAAGCCACCATGGCGGGGGCCGAGGCAGAGGCAGTTAGGGGCGATCAGGCAGGCAGGCGAGCAGTTAGGGGTGATCAGGCAGGCAGGCAGAGTGGTTAGGGGCAATCAGGCCTAAACTGGCAGTCGGACATCCCCTGAGGGGTCCAGAATTGCGAGAGGGTGCAGGCTGGGCTGAGGGACCCCCCACTCCCCCGTGCATGAATTTTATGCACTGGGCCTCTAGTAAGATATAAAAGGAGTAACTGGCAAGAAAGACAATCAAATATTTAGTTCTGTGCTCTTGTTCTGTTAGCAATGAAGAATCTTCCTTGACAATCATAGAAAAAAAATTAACAACACAGACCTAAATGTAAAATTGTAAGAATTTTAGAACAAAACAGAAGAAAATCTTTGGGACCTAACCCTGACAGTTCTTAGACTTGACATTAAAAGTACAATCCATAAACAAAAAAATTAATAAACTAGACTTCATTGAAATAAAAAAAACTTTTACTCTGAAAGACCCTGCTAAGAGAATGAAAAAACAAGCTGTAGATTGGGAGAAAATATGTACAAGCCACATATCCAACAAAAGAATACTATACAAAATATATAAAGAACACTCACAATTCAATAGTAAAAAAATAAGCAATCCAATTAGAAAATGGACAAAAGACATAAAGCAATTGTTAGGGTCGCCGAAGGAGGAATGCATGAGGCCAAAAGGGGTGAAGAATTATGAATTTATTAGATTTTCTGGATACCAAATGGGCTCAGCCCCAAAATGGCTCCATATATCTTACTAGAGCCCCCAGGGACTTGGAGTCAGAGGTTTTTAAAGGACTCTAGGTGGGCTTTTTCTGGGAGGAGAATTCTCTGTGCAGCTCGGGATTCTGGGAAACTCCGAAGGGAGAGATAATAGCAGGTGGAATGTGGTCTAAGCAAGTGGAATGTCCATTGTGAAGTGGCCTAAAGGTCAGTTCCCAGGGGAGGGAGCATCGATTCACTGAAAGGGACACTTATATAATGATAAAAGGATCAATCCATCAAGACATAGCAATCCTAAATAGATATGCACCAAACAACAGAGACACACAAAAATTAACTCCAAATGGATCATGTTTTCCAATCTATAATAATAAAAGCGTAATATGCTAATTAGACTGGACAGCTGAACAACCTTCCGGATGTCATTCTGGACATCCTTCCGTATGAAGCCACCATGGCGGGGGCCGAGGCAGAGGCAGTTAGGGGCGATCAGGCAGGCAGGCGAGCAGTTAGGGGTGATCAGGCAGGCAGGCAGAGTGGTTAGGGGCAATCAGGCCTAAACTGGCAGTCGGACATCCCCTGAGGGGTCCAGAATTGCGAGAGGGTGCAGGCTGGGCTGAGGGACCCCTCACTCCCCCGTGCATGAATTTTATGCACTAGGCCTCTAGTAAGATATAAAAGGAGTAACTGGCAAGAAAGACAATCAAATATTTAGTTCTGTGCTCTTGTTCTGTTAGCAATGAAGAATCTTCCTTGACAATCATAGAAAAAAAATTAACAACACAGACCTAAATGTAAAATTGTAAGAATTTTAGAACAAAACAGAAGAAAATCTTTGGGACCTAACCCTGACAGTTCTTAGACTTGACATTAAAAGTACAATCCATAAACAAAAAAATTAATAAACTAGACTTCATTGAAATAAAAAAAACTTTTACTCTGAAAGACCCTGCTAAGAGAATGAAAAAACAAGCTGTAGATTGGGAGAAAATATGTACAAACCACATATCCAACAAAAGAATACTATACAAAATATATAAAGAACACTCACAATTCAATAGTAAAAAAATAAGCAATCCAATTAGAAAATGGACAAAAGACATAAAGCAATTGTTAGGGTCGCTGAAGGAGGAATGCATGAGGCCAAAAGGGGTGAAGAATTATGAATTTATTAGATTTTCTGGATACCAAATGGGCTCAGCCCCAAAATGGCTCCATATATCTTACTAGAGCCCCCAGGGACTTGGAGTCAGAGGTTTTTAAAGGACTCTAGGTGGGCTTTTTCTGGGAGGAAAATTCTCTGGGCAGTTCGGGATTCTGGGAAACTCCGAGGGGAGAGATAATAGCAGGTGGAATGTTGTCTAAGCAAGTGGAATGTCCATTGTGAAGTGGCCTAAAGGTCAGTTCCCAGGGGAGGGAGCATCGATTCAATTATTCTATCAGACCTAACAGCAGTATTTCACCAAAGAAAATAAACAGATGGAAAATAAGTACATGAAAAGATATTCAACGTCATTAGCCATTAGAGAAATGCAAATTTAAACCACAATGAGATATTACATCACATCTACCAGAATGACTAAAATAAAAATACGACAATAAATGTGGACAAGGATGGAGAGAAACTAGATCACTCACACATTGCTGATGGGAATATATAAAATAGTAGAACTACTCTAGAAAACAGTTTGGCAGTTTCTTAAAAACAAACAAACAAACAAACATAAAACTACCACATAACCTAGCTGTTTCACTGCTGGGTATTTATTCCAGAGAAATGAAGACTTCTATTCACAGAAAACCCAGTAACATGAATATTTACAGCAGCTTCAGTCCTAATAGCCCAAAACTGGGAACAAACCAGATGTTCTTCAAGGAGTGAATAAACCAACTGTGGTACATCCATACCATGGAATAGTACTCAACAATAAAAATCAATGAATCACTGATACACACACCTGGATGAATCTCTAAAGAATGATGTTGAGTGGCAAAAAGCCAATCCCACAGATTACCAAAAGGTATTTTATTATTCCATTTATGTAACATTCATGAAATAACAAAATTATAGAAATGGAGAACAGTTTAATGATTTCCAGAGTGGGGAAGGAGTGGGATTAGGGAGGGAGGGGGGTGTAGCTATAAAAGGACAACCTGAGGGACTCTTGTGATGGAAATGCTCTGTATCTGACTGTATCATTCTCAATATCCCAGTTGTAACGCTGTACTATAGTTTGGCCAGATGTTTCATTGGGGGAAACTAGGTAAAAGGAACATGGGCTATCTCTCTGTCTCAGTTGCTACATAAAAATCTACAATTATCTCAAAATAAGAACTTCAGTTTTTAAAAAGTGAAAAAGGCATGAGAGGAAAGAAATCAAGCCAGGAGAAGATTTAGGCTGACTGAGCAAATAAGAAAATAGGCACTAAATCAAAGGACCCTTCTAATCCTCTGGTGGTAAGTGGTAGGTGGGGATCATTTCTGTTTTCTCAGAGCAGACACAGGAGGGCAAATGCTTTAAAGGCTCCTAAGTGATTTCCTACTATTTATTTTTTCTTCACCCAATTTTCTTCTTTCCTCTGCCTCTAGGATCTTAGCGAGATCATTAGTAACATAGAGGAATGGGACAAACCCATGCCTTTTCCTTCTCCCTCCACTATAGGCCTGATCGAAATGACAAAATACATCTCCAAAGATGCCAGCTACACAAGGGAAAGGAAAGAAATAAAAGAAGCTAAGAAACAAGAAGGGCTGTGCAAGCAACCCAAGTTGTGTCCATCAACAGATGAATGGATAAACAAAATGTGGCATATGCATACAGTGAATACCACTCAACAATAAAAAGGAAATTCTGACACCTGCCACAGCATGGATGAACCTTGAGGACATTATTCTCCATGACATAAGCCAATCACAAAAGGAGAAATACTGTATGATTCCTCTTATAATGAGGAACCCAGAGTAGTCAAATTCATAGAGACAGAAAGTAAAATGGTAATTGTCAAGGGCTGGGGTAGGAGAATTAGTGTTTAATGGGGACAGAGTTTCAATTTGGGAAGATGGAAAAGTTCTGTGGATGGAGGTAGTGATGGTTGCACAACATTGTGAATGTACTTAATGCCACTGAACTATACATTTAAAAATGGTTAAAATGCTAACTAATGTGATATATATATTTTAACACAATTTATAAAAAGTTAATTATAAAAAAATTAAATTTTGGGAGGGATAGCATCTTTTCATTGAAGAAAAAATGTTTGAAATCTAGAAAATCAGTTTGAAATCACAAGTGGAACTCAGTTTTTTGAAGACTCAAAGCAACTTCCTGACAACATCTTACTAGGAAAACTGCCACATCGGTGAGTGTACACAGTCCTAAAAGATGCCCTTACCACGAAATGTTGGCCGCACTTCTGGGTCCGCTTCCCAGCACTGCTTCATGAGGCTGATAATCTCCTTTGGGCAGTACTCAATGATGTCATTCACATTTGGCCTATTCCCGGATTTAATACATATGAGCAGCTGCTGCTCATTGATAGCATCTGTAAAGCAAAGAGGAGCCTCAGTTTAGACTTTCTTTTAGGTCCTGCTCTTCTCGGGCAGGGAGGTGACAGAACTTGGACCAGCCACTAATCTCTCTCTGCCTGGGACATGCTTTTAGTAAAGCTGCTCCTCCGACAGGGGCAGAAGGGCCCTGTGGCTAGGAGCCACACATTTTAATTTCTGCAGATGAAAGGCAGAATTCACAAGAAAGCTGCCTCCTGGTAGAACAGGTGGAATATTAATGAGTGACTTAAAATGTAGAGTGATAATTGCTACTCAGGAAGTACAAGGTTCTGAGAACACAACCTTCACCAGATGGTCAGAGAAGGCTTTGTGGAGTCCAGAAAAATAAGGAGTTATCCAGGTAAGGAATGGGGAAGGAGGACTCAGAGAGGATGACTACGGGCTAGGGAAGTAGGATATAAATAGATTGGAGGTTCCATAAATTATGATGTATCCCAGAATCATGAGTAGTTCAGTATGACTGAGCATATTGCCTAAGGAAAGAGGAGTAAAGCTAGAGAAAGAAGCAAAAGCCAAATCAGAAAGGGCCTACTATTGCATACTGAGGAATTTGAACTTTATCTTTAAGGCCCCAGAGTCTCTTGTAAGATTTTTTTTAAAACAGATCAGTGAGACGATCATATTTTCTTTTGGGATGACCAGTTGGGCTGCAGTGTGAGTGATGGATGCCTATGAGGAGCCTACTGCAGAAATATGAAGGGTTTGACTAAATAGAGTCCAGTGGTGATAGAAAGAAGTGGGTGGACTGAAGGTGTATCTTGAATCATATATATACTTTGACTTCGTAAGTCTGGATGTCTGATTGTATGTGGGAGATGAGGAACAAGGCTGAATGACTAAGGTTTCTGGTTGGGCAACTCAGCAGATGGATGGTGATGCCATCGCTGATCATAACAAGAGCTGCAAAGCTGAGTGGGCTACAGGAGAGCAGGTAGATGAATTTGCCTGGGGGAATGTTGCTTTGCGGTTCCTCTGGTACATGGAATAGTTCTAACAGACAAGTGGATATCTAGGCCAGGGCTAGAGATAAGAGATTTGAGAGGCATGGGCAAAGAGGTGATCATTGAACCAGGGGACCTCATAATCACCCAAAGAAGAATGGGTAGGAAAATGTCTGTTAGTTTAGGCACTTAACATACTGAAGAATGACTACTTATGTATCTGTTCTACATGAACCATGTCTATCTCATCTTTACATTCTCAATTCTGGTTAAAATGCCCATAGAGGTTCTGAAGTGAAATAACTCTTGAATGAAGGAGTGAATGGATGCAAGTCATCTAACATGCATGCCTTATAGGACGAAAGGGTAAGTCCTCACATGCAGAAGCCAGCAAGCTTTCTTGTCCAGGAAGAGTCCTGGAATTTCACAGCACCTCCTGAGCTTAGATGCATTATCACGGCTCCTGTTTGTCCTGTGGCCCCTGATTCCTAAACTGAGATTATTCATTCAGTCAATAATAATTTACTGAGCACCTACTATGTTTCTGGCACTGTGTGTGCAGATACTTGGGAAATAGAAGAGAATAAATCAGATGTGGTCCCAGCCCTTGCAGACCTTAAAGTCTAGTGGGTAAGACAGACATTAAATGAACTAACCATTAAATTTTAATTCACTTCATTGAAGGCCATTATCTCATTTAATGATTTTGATGAATACCCAAATCCCACTCCTGTATAAATGTCTTACTTTCGTATGGCTCCTTGTTTGCAAATATTGCCCACAGTACTATTGCAAAGCTGTACACGTCCGACTTCTCCGAGGGCCTGGCGTTGATGTCATTCAGGTGCTCGGGCGCCATGTAGTAGAGGGTGCCACCGTTTTTCTTAGAGAGACTGTCCGCTTTCCTCTGCTCATTGTGTTCCTCTTTCGTCAGCTTACTCCACGTCTTAAAGGACGCAACACCAAGGTCAGCTATCTGTAAGTGATCAAACCAACGGGATTGTTCTATGAAGATGGCAAGCAGATCAGATTTGTCTTGAAATTCGGGACTCACCCAATAGATTGGAGATACAGTGAACTTTCCAGAAATGGTTGCAGTGGATAGTGTTAAAATAACTACTTCTGAACAGACTCAGAAACTTTGTATTTCCTTAGTCATTTAGAAAACCTTCCCTAAGAAATTTCCATGTGAAGTTCTGGTATCTCAATTCTTATGTAACTGGAAAAAAACAAGAAATCTGCTGGAGCAGTTGGTGGGAGGGGAGAAAAGGAGGTGAAACAGAAGACATTTCTGACATGAACAACAAAACACATTTGTCCTAATTTTTCATTGACTCTGCAATTGTTTTCCAACTATTTCTGGAGGAAAAACAATAATTTCTTCTGAGGATGCTTACATAGCAGACAGTGATGAGGTACTGCACCTTCTATTTTCCAAAACGGTGTCCAAAAGCCCATGGATGCTAGTCTCCAAGGGTCCCAAAGACACTGAGGATAGGGCTGTGCTGCTACTGGCTTTGAGTTGGTAACCTCAACTGAACCTAAGAGAAGATGGGAGGGGAAGGAGGAGAAAAACGGACAAAAAGCAGAGAGAAAAACACCAACATCAGACACAAAAAAAGAGAGAAGTGGCGGGGCAAAACGACAGAACAATACAGTGACCGAGAATCAGTGTCAGTTTCACTTCTGCCTCTAGGAATCCAGTATCTGCAGATGAACTCTGGCACGTGGTTATGTAAAACCCACAGATTCTAACATAACAGATATGTTATTAATGTAAAGAAGGAACTTTCCTCTTAAGACAGGAATAAAAACCCATCAAAGACGAGGATGAAGTGTTAGAAGAACCCTCTAGCAAAGAGGAACGTCTGTGAAAGCAGTCCCACAGTCCTTACCCCTAGGCCTCTTCCCCTTTCAGATTTTTGCACTTGGATCCCTGCTGCCAGAGCCAATTAGCTATGCTGACCCCACCTACTTAAATATAAAGTGAACAACAACAAAATCCCTTTCTCGTTTCCTTTCCTGTGATGAAAAGAGTTGGAGTTTTCAAAAGGAAACATAAAAAATGCAGATGAAAGTACATAAATCCATAAAAAATATAAACTCCATCAAGTCTGTGTCTTTCTTTTCAGTCCTTGGCACCACCGTCACCATGAGAAACCGAGGCAGGTCTTCCTTTAGAGTCACCATGTACAAACATGGATTCACAGTGAAGAGTTACCACTAAAATCACCCAAGCTTCTACAGCCTTTGGATTATGGCTTACCTTAATGTGAAAGTTGTCATCAACGAGGATATTTTCAGGCTTTAGGTCCTTGTGTATTACACCTTCTCCATGTAAATAGCACATTCCTTCAATGATCTCCATAATTATCCTTCCTTTTACAGAAAGGGGGATGCTGATCTAAAACAAGTAACATTAAGTGTATGAAATGGAAAGGCAATCAAACATGCCAAAGCAACTGTTTCACTCAGGAGTAGTGGGGGCTGCACCTGAGGACACAGTTACCTGACTTCTCTCTGCTCTGTAGCACTGTGGACATTGCAAAACAGGCCCCCTTTTGAAGAAAGAGTTCGTCATAGGTGCTGAGGGTATTAATGGCGTGCTTTTCAATGTAAAACTAAAACTTCCATGACAATATGCTAATATATAAAAATGATATCTAATTAAGCTCCTAGAGAATAAAACATTATTATTATTATTATTACTAGTAGTACTTCCATGACAATATGCTAATATATAAAAATGATATCCAATTAAGCTCCTTGAGAATAAAACATTATTATTATTATTATTACTAGTAGCCCGGTGCATGAAATTCACGCACATTAGAAGGGAATTAATTGCCCTAACTGGTTTGGCTCAGTGGATAGAGCATTGGCCTGCGGACTCAAGGGTCCTGGGTTGGATTCCGGTCAAGGGCATGTACCTTGGTTGCGGGCATATCCCCAGTGGGGAGTGTGCAGGAGGCAACTGATCGATGTTTCTAACTCTCTATCCCTCTCCCTTCCTCTCTGTAAAAAAATTAATAAAATATATTTTTTTTAAAAAGGGAATGAATTAGCACAGATATTTTAACATTGCTATTTGCCCTTTCTCTATAATAGAAACGTGAGAGATGAAAGGAAATTAGTAAAATGTATATGAAAATAATATATAAGTTTATTAATAAATAAACAATAACAAAATGATATAACAACAGAGGCATGATATAAAAACGATAAAAACATGATATGAAAACAACAAAAACATGATA